AGAGAGAGAGAGAGAGAGAGAGAGAGAGAGAGAGAGAGAGAGAGAGAGAGAGAGAGAGAGAGACGTACCTGTTTGGGGTTGCCTGGTGGTCATAGCGGCCCCAGTGTCTACACATAAGCCTTTGTTGTAGAAGACTTTGAATTTCGGAACAATCTCCAAAGTGCTCTCATCTTGTTTGGCTTGCATCTCTTTTTCATCTCTCTCTCGTGTTTGGAGCGTGTGAAATGTGGCGTGAGAAGCGGTGTAATTTTTTAATTCTTAGTTATTTTTTATTTTTGTGGATCATTTCTCAATTTATGCATGTCATACTTGGGCAGGGGCCATGCTAATCTTCATTCTCTGTATCCTACCAAGTTTACAGGATGTCCTGAGGGACAGCGGTGTGGATTCGTGGGTTCATTGCAGAGGGGATTTTTTGTTTTTTTGACGCCATTCTATGAGTCTTCTTGCGCTGGCTGGCTGGCTGGCTGGCTGTATTCAATAATGTCAGTCGGTGCTTAGTGGTATCTTCCTTGGAATGGTGTGCAGATGACGGACGGATGATGCACACACTGCTCTCTGATTAGAGCCTTCTCTCTCTCTCTCTCTCTCTCTCTCTCTCTCTCTCTCTCTCTCTCTCTCTCTCTCTCATATTAATGTTTGTTTTCCCTCTGAGAGTGTGGTGTGGAGAGTACCAGGTCGCTGAAACACTCTCCAATTCGGGTACTACTGAAAGTCCCAGAAGTGAGGTAGGCATATGTTTCGCTGGGAGAAGTATGTTCGATATGCACAGAGTGCATGTATACTTGTCTCTCGTCACAACAGCAGGCGTTGCATATCATCGACACACACAGACACACGCACACACACACACACACACACACACACACACACACACACACACATATGCAGACGCGCGTGCACGGGCGATGACGCCAAGAAGACGGCCATGGTGATGGTTAGGAGGTCGACAATCGAGGAGGAGGAGAGGGAGGGGTGACGAGGAGAAAGTTGGAGGAGGGAGGAATGAGGGAAGAGGAGGGGAAGAGGAGTAGGGAGGACAAGGACTCTGACGATGACGGAAGAGGATAGAGGATGGAGACTGGACGAGAAGAGAGGATAGCGACGAGGACGGAGGAGGAGGGAGGAGGGCGATGAGCATGGATGGAGGAGGAGGAGGGCAATGAGCATGGACACACACACGCGCGCGCGCGCACTCTCCCCTTCGCACATTAGCCGTATGCACTCCAACGCATCGATCACCCACGCGGCGAACTTGGAGACTCACTGCTGCACCACTTTTCCGTGGCAGCGCGTGAAATGCCTACCACTGCGAATTCGAATTCCTGCCGCCACTGCTACAAGGGCATCACAGAAAGATGTGTGCCCCTGGTGAGGGCATTTCAAGGACGGACCGATGAAACGAAGTAAGGGCATATCGGAAAGTTACCCCCCATGCTGACAGGGGCCTGCAGAAAATTTCAGAGGCCCGAAGGGCACCACAGGGTAAGTCGGCCTTCACAGCGGCACGCCGCAAATAAATGCAAACTTCGGGGGCATTTCGAAAATTTTCCCTTGTTTTTTTTTTTTTTTTTTTTTTTTTT